CTTTGCGCGAAATTCAAAACAAACAAACCGAAGATAACATCTTGAAGGCATTTTTTTAATTCTATCAAATGGACAAATAATAAAATTTGTAACCTGAGTTGCGGAAACTGTTCAGAAACATTTTGAAAAACTAAAGATGCAGCGTGTACAGCATTATGTGGAGATGAAAATGTTATGAGAAAGAAAATATAATTAACCTTTCAGCCAAACGACCCCTATCTGAATAAAGAAAATGGTTGAGAATAAATTTCTTCGATACTAATATTGTGCATCATATGTTCGTTCTTATCATTAAAAATAAATGAAAAAATTTAACTGATGTATACACAATGAATATACTACCAACCATCAATTAAATTCATCACAGGGTGACACTTTCTCTTTCAGAAATTGGGCCGGGTATGGTCTAGTAGTTAGTTTGCATAAAATGTTAACCCGAGGGTTTATGGTTTACGTCCTATTGTTGCAAAAACACACTCCGCTCTTTGAGGTCGTAGGTATGCCATAAGAGTGACGGTCAGATTCCACTATTTGGTCAGACAAGAGTAGCCTAGAAATTGTCGGTTGGTACTGTTACTAGCCACCTTCCCTTTAATTTATAAGTTCAAAATTAGGATCAACTAAGCAAAGATAGTTCTTTAAAACAAACAAATGAACCTTTGTGAATACAGTATCAAACAAAATTTGGCGTCGAGAGATCTCAATCATCCAGAAATATATCCTTAAAGTGCAACAATAATCTAATGTTTAAGGTCAATATTGAGAGTTGTGGTTACACATTAAAAGTCTGAGTGATCATTGGACATATTCTACGTGTTAAAATTATAAGTTCGATATGCAATATTTTGTTTTCTTACACTTATTTTAGGTATAGTTGGGTAGACCACCCTGTATAATACTTATTTTCTGATATTGATAACAACAGAGTGTTTGAAACCCATGCACACTCATGTTACAAAATGACAAGCGTTTCCACTATTTCTAGTTTTATAGATGGTAAGCTGTGTGTGTGTGTTGGCAATGAACAGACTATCTACACGAACTCCAACACATACCAACCCACCATGCGGGTGATATAATACTGTTGCCTTAAGCCTTAGCTTAGATCAATACATTGATAAAGATTCCCTACACGCCAATATGAGGGTTTATTTGAAACATATCTTCTCTTAATATTACATATTGATGCAGATTTCAGTTACTTAGCAACGCATCACTCTCCTAACAAAATAAACATGGAATCAGTTGAAAATAGAATTAACAAACACATTAATTTCGTTATTAATTATATTAAAAATAAACCCCAACAGTTTGAATATATATATAGTTTTGTATATAAAATTGTCTAATAAACACGAACTACTATAAAAGAAAGACACCTTATGTTTCCCAGCTACAACTATCCGTATAATAGTTGGTATGTAATAAAGTACATAGAAGTTTTACAGCGTTCATAAATAGTTTAGTTCAAAGATCCTTCACTAGGAAGGGGGGGGGAGCAGGAGTAATTTCTGAGCTCCTGCAGGAAGAATGATGGTTTTGCATCATGCAGAGCAATGGTTACTAATTTTAGAAGCTGCTAAAACTATTCTGAGTGACTTGGTAGAGAAAACTTATCAACACAGATATTATGAGATTTAAATATCCTATATTTTTCTACAAACTAATATAAAATTTGGTCATATGACATCTGTTTTTTAATTTTATTATTTTTTTTCTTCTTCTTCTTATTATTATTATCATTATATATATTTATAAAGATTAAGTCTCGGCTATTTAACTTCTTCTACGTTTTAGTTTGTTTTGATAGAGAAGGTTTTATGAAATCCATTACACTTTACAACATAGAACTTTAGTTATTAAAACACAGTAATTAGTGTAGGGTTTTACTTCTACAGAGGAGTTGTAATTCTACTTACACACACAGCGATAAGCTCCACACGCCGATTCAAATGGTAACTTAACGGCTGGTTTCTAGCAGGGTACGACGTTCCCCGCGTTGGCGGTGTGATTACGTAAACCACTCCACAAATAAAAGCAAAATCAAACCGCCACTTCGATGGTTTCTGTTTGAGCGGTTTTTGCCAGTCTGGGCTTCGCCACACTAAGATAAGCTATTACTGAAAATTAAACACCAGAAAAGTTAATTTAAAGTTTTATATGAAATAAGAGTCATTAACACTTTGTTAGGGCGCTGTTGGATAACCGTTGCTGTGTCTTTTCATGAGAAGATCTGTCAGCACCAGAATACGTTCTGCGCCCTGGCTTTCGGCAAACATGCGTTAAGCTTTGGATGGAGGAAGAAAGTTTTACGTAAGCCGGCAGTGGCACGCGCCTGTGCAGCTCGAAGCTTCCGTTCTACTTGTGAGGTAAAGAACAAGGGTAGCTAGAAAAATCTGGTCCTATACAGCGTTTGCACAGATGGGTCTCAATATACAACGATAATTCTAATATCTCTCTGTGTAGTCGTGGGCGTGGAGATCAATCTAAGATATATGTTGACTGAGGACTTTGGCAAGAATAAAGATATCGGAACGTAAATATATAAGTGAATACTTGGAAGTATCAAATATTCTCCAATATTTCCTTCTTCTCGATGGTAATAATATTTTTTTACACTTATACGGCTTGTATTGTTAAGCAAAAACAACATTGTGTGGCACCATATTATCATATTACACCATTCATGATGTTAGAAAAACAAATAGATTCAAAAAGTCAAGAAGGGTTATAGACTGTTTAATCATATTGACCCAATAATGGAATCACTGAGTGTTTACTACCAATTAAAATAACAGATTTTACCGAACTGTTCATTCAGAATATATATACCATATGTTTTATATGTAGTTATATGTAGTTTATATGTAGTTATTCTTCTAAAGATTTGACAAATATAATAAACTGTTCAGTTTTCTTTTTAATGTTATACCTTAATACACATACTTGTTCATATATCTATATCTGTAGTATATGATGTATGCATGATAATAACAGGAGGACATTTTCATAAGTTCACAAATGAATCATAACGTGTTACATAAATTATTATTAACGTTAGTTCTTAAATTATTATTCTGTAAGGTAATATTTTTGGATGATATATAGAGATATGGAGAGGGTATCGTAAATCATGATTACTATGGGTTAATCTCATGTCATAAAATTGATTACTGAAAGTTAACTGTGATTTATAAAACTGATTAATTAGGGTTAATACCACTTTATAAAACTGATTACTGAGTTTAATCATACTTTATGAAACTGGTTACTGATGTTAATCACACTTTATAAAACTGATTACTGGGTTAATCACATTTTATAAAACTAATTGCTGATTGTTTATAACACTTTATAAAACCGATTACTGAGGGTTAATCACACTTTATAAAATTAATTACTGAGGCTTAATCATATTTTATATAACTTATTACTGGGGGTTAATCACACTTTATATAACTTATTACTGGGGATTAATCACACGTTATAATACTTATTACTGGGGTTAATCGCACTTCATGAACTGATTATTGGAGGTTTATCACACTTTATAAAACTTATTACTGGGGTTAATCACACTCTATAAAACTTATTACTGGGGGTAAATCAAACTTTATATAACTTATTATTGGGGGTTAATCACACTTTGTAAAACTTATTACTGTGGTTAATCACACTCTATATAACTTATTACTGGGGGTTGATCACACTATAAACTTATTACTGGGGTTAATCGCACTTTATAAAACTTATTACTAGGGTTAATCACACTTTGTATAATTTATTACTGGGGTTAATCACACTCTATAAAACTTATTACTGGGGGGTTAATCACACTTTATATAACTTATTACTGGGGGGTTAATCACACTCTATAAAACTTATTACTGGGGGGTTAATCACACTCTATAAAACTTATTACTGGGGGTTAATCACACTCTATATAACTTATTACTGGGGGTTAATCACACTCTATAAAACTTATTACTGGGGTTAATCACACTCTATATAACTTATTACTGGGGGTTAATCACACTTTATATAACTTATTACTGGGGGTTAATCACACTTTGTAAAACTGACTTCCTCCATACTACTTCCTCTTTCGCCAATCGTGCTTAAAATCTAATGGTTTCGTTTACGCATTATTGTCTGACATCACAATTTGCAATATAAGAAGCTTTTGTGAAGGACGGCAATGTCACTTTTAGACCACACAGAAGTCTCTCATGAAAACATGCACTGATTTCAAGGTGTGGCTTGCAGCTTTTGACTCTCCGCTTTGTGAGTTTCCTTCAACTATGTTCATTAGTTTGTTAATTTTACTATGAGATATGCCCAGCTTCTTCGCAATGGTGAACGTGCTCTTTTTTGTAACCGATGCCTTTATTTTATTAATGAAAGCATTAATACAAATTGACTTGATGTGATTTTGGAGCCTATTGCTGTCCTTAACACTCTACGGTTAGGTTTTCTTGCTTCCATGTTGAACTTTGAAGATTATCATTTTCGAAATGTTGTGTCTTATGGTTTTCACCGTTTGGAAATCTTGTAAAAGATATATTTTCCTTCTGAAAGATCTATAGCATAGATCTTCAGCCATAAAACTATAGTTGTAGCATTACATTGATATAGATACTAAACATGGGGGTCACAGCTCACATCTGCACTGACACGCACTGCATATAATTTTTATAAAGTGTGATTAACCGTCTTTGGACATACTGTGTGCTACTAAATTAAGAAATATGAGAAATTGAATAGTACAATTTATAACAATTAAATATTATAAGAGCTTCATTATGTGTTCTATTTTATAGTGGCTTAAGACTGATTGTAACTGAAACGTTAAAAAGGTTTCTTAGCCGATAATAAGTGTACTAAGTACACAACAAACCTACTAATCAAATGAATCACTTTATATATTCCATAATTCGCAATAAAGTACCATTCAAGCAGTTTCAAATGAAATTCTATTGGTATTAGAAATTATTTCTGCATATATTTTTATTAGAATTATCGCCAACACGAAGACTTCTGCTTTTTATAAATATTTTACAAGTAATATTTTGATCGAGGCATTTACAAGTTTTATTTCTACCGCGGCTTCTTGTTATGAATTGTTTTAAGAACCATTTCTTAGGTTAGATTGAAATAGACCAGTGGTTCTTAAAGTGTCGTCTGTCGACCACTGGTGGTTGGCGAGGGTCCTCCAGATGGTTCGTGGGCTGGTCCAAAATGCAAGTCTCATCAAAAGCAACGCCATTCTTCTCATTAATTCTTGTTAGTTTTTTTTTGTGTGTGTGTGGGGTGGCCAGCGAGAACTGGTGGAGTAGGACCGATAAGTGGTCCGTGGGGCCTTTTTCCTCATTGAAGTGGTCCACGAAGAAAAAGTTTGAGAATCTTTGAGATAGACAAAACACTAATGATCGAAGTGAAGGCTAAGACATCAAAGAAATTCTTGTAGTTAATTATTCAATGTTCCTCCGGCCTTTAGTCTGGACTTTGTATCTGATATAGTCAGAGTGTTGAAGGCTGGAAGTAGACATGCGCTCAACAGTATAGAGTGTATATTTTTTTAGTGTTTTAGGCTGAAAGTAGTCATGCATCAACAACACGGAGTGCATAGTTTATTAGTTGTTTTTTGTTGTTGTTTTTTATTTCGGAGCCAATCTCAGCTCTGGAAGATTAGCTAAAAACATAAACTTATTTCATTTATCACATAAGACAAATGAATGCTTAAATACGTAACAAATACTATCTGTATTTGAGAAAATTTCCATTACTTAAACTGATAAATATAAATATAGGTATATAGATATTCTACGTTATTTGAAATTCCCGAAATTCCTGTTGAGCAAGATAAGCTGTCATATTGAACCGTACAAAATACCACGCCAATATTTCTTTGAAACTATTTAGTAAAGTTAAGATATTACAGTGCTATACATGTTCATAAATCGATGAAAGACGGGGTTTCAGTTGCCATAACGACGAATATTTACTTAGCTTTTTCCTCTCTTTTTTTTCTCTCTGACAAAGACGCTAAAGTTTTAAAGGAAGGTACAGTGCTTGCTATCCATAGGTTGTTAAATTACATCATTTAACTTCTCGGGAATTGAATATCTTTACCAGTCTATGAATAAATCGTGCAGAAAATGCATTGTTTAGTCTTTGTGAACATTTATACTGTCGCCAACATAATATGATATAAAAGTGAGATAATGTATCTTACACTGATAACTTATGTTTTATGTTGTTACTTTCTTCTCACATTCAAGAAAATTGTGGATATTTCTCAGTTTCTGCCTGTCGTTTATTCACACATTAGTACTAATCTCTAAAGAAAATGAGGATTTCGAAAAATGCTATTAGATTCTAATATTATTTATTTTGAGAGACTAGTTTTATATATTAACGGCAAAGACGATGTCTAAGGCCTAATATCTTTCACCGAGTAAGTTCCCAAAATTATGAAATATTTACCCAAAATTAATCTAATATAAACAAACCAGTTTATCGTGAGCTATATATCACAAGACAGGTTAACACTCTTTTAAATCACTAGTTGTTGCGTTAGGGGAAAAAACGACTGTTTCATATTTAGAAAAATAGATAAAGGTGTACTATACTTCCTTAAACTCCACTCCCACCCCCAAGTGGCTCATCAGTATGCTTGAAATCTTATAACGCTAAAATATGGGGTTCGAGTCCCTGTGGTAAACATAGCAGAGATAGCATATTATGCAGCTTTGCACTTAAAAACAAACAAACAATCCTTGAAATCAATCCCAATATAGCGCCTACTTACTTTTAAGACATAATAAAATGCATAGCCAGATTAACGGAGTTTTTTTGCTAACGAAATATCCATAAGTATTAGACTAACATTTTTGCATCAATCATCTAATCAATCGACACTTCGATAATGAAATAATTTTGTTTTGATCTTGAAGTGCTCAATCAGTTTATTGCGTGAATAGTTCGGATGTTTTTGTTGCAATCAAATTTCATTTTGAGAACATATTTGTGTGTTTATTTGTTTGTCTATCTGTATGTCACTAGATGAAACTTTGTGTAGACCAAATACAGTTTTTGAAATGTCTATCATTTATTGTATAGATCATGCCTTTCCTACCGAAACAATATAATAAGGCAAATAATACTATATATTCAAAACTGGATGCTATAAATAACTAAGAACAATTATAACATAGAACGTATTAAAAGAAATATGATTGAAACGAAGCATTTGGAAACTAGACAGACATATTGATACAATGCAAGAAGTGACAACAATAAAAGGTTTAAGACGGAGAGTAATGTAACAAAGATGGTGAAATAAACCGAAGGCGGTAGATCAATCTAAGTAAAAATAATAAGGCAGATGTATAAGGAAGGTGGTAAGGCAACCTGAAAGAGAATTGTAAGACAAATTTAAAAACTTGGTCAAGGTAAAAAGATTAAGATAGGCTTAAGAAGGAGGATTAATAGAAAAAGGATGATACGAAGAAAGATCAATGTAGGAAGACTTGTAAGAAAGAGGAGTAATTTAAGAAAGTCAGTAGAGTAAGTTTAATGAGTT